ACAACACTTTGAGAGTCCTTATCATGGTCCTCCTCCACCGCGGCGGCTCCTGGGCTCTCTGCCATGCTTTTGCTTCGCCCAGTAGTGCGCGCGCATGTGTGTGCGTGTGCGTGTGCGCGTACGTTCGTGTGTGTGTGTTGTTACCAAGCCCTGCGCATGCGCATCAGCATTCTGTCTTTCTATATGTTTGTTTTATGCTGCGGGAAAATGCTGTAATATGTGAACATCAGAGATGTCCGTGAGAAAATAGCTTTGGCGGACGCTACCGCGCTACTTGAGCAATAATATAGCTTAGCTACAGAAAAGTTACTAGGTTTTGTAAATAGTGACGCTACTGTCAAGCTACTGAAAAATGTAGTTAAGCTAGTAGCGACGCTACTTGTAGCGACGCTACTGCCCATCACTGGATATAGAACACCTGTCTGACTAATTCTATAAGTTAATTTCTTAATTTTTGAATGCACTGGAAACCGCCGCCACTCCCGCCTGAAAGTGAATGTGCGTTAGGACTACGAGCTGTTTCACACTGGTTCGTTACCTTTTTTTGTAACTTCTTCATATTTTCCACATATAGTCAGAATTCTTGTAAAACGGCTCCTTTACAAAGGCACAAAAGATTTCAAACTTGCTTTAAATGAGCAGAGAAACATCAAGCAAAGCCAGTCACTGAACAGTCTTGTATTGATTTTGTTTTACCTCTAATGCCACACCTTCCTTTTAAAAAACTTTATTCGGAAACAGAGTAGCAGTTTTGAAGGTGCACACACATGTCTCCCACATGTACGGTGAAATTGGCCTGGGATCCTTATGTGTCTGCATTAGGGGCCCAACAGCTTGCACTCTTTGGTACTCAGCAAGTTTTACACTTGTAGCTTTCTCAAGCCGCTGTTCACTACTATCTGTGCATTTAGTGTCAGTGTCACTTAACAGTATTTTTCAGGAAGTCCCAAAAAGGTGCATGGCTACAGGACCCTTCTAGTTTTAGTTCAGTTTTCTACTTTCTTTCACTTTTTATCAGTAACTTCCAGAATAGCTGTTCACTTTTGCTGCTCTGATTGGTGCAGTAACAGTGAGGAAGACCAATTCTTGGAGCGGACCATGCGTTTTTTATTATCCAACAATAAAAAACATTAATTAATTTTTTAGTTTTTTTCCATTATTTTCTTTGTCTCGACTAAGAGAATCCTTTAAAACATTATGTCAGAATACATGGATCAGAACACATGCTGTCTATACCTGTCTTAACATGGTCTATATGATTTTTATATTTATATACATATATCCATCATATAGATATGATGACATATTGATGACATAAAGCTGAAAATGTCCCACCTCCCCTGTATAGATGATTTAAACAGACGCAGAAGTCGATCCATCCATTCTATACAGCCAACATTTCAAAACAAAATAGACTTATCCTTATACTTTGATTAAACAAACTTGATGGAAAAAACATACCCCGACATCCTGTTCTCTTACTTCATTCAAATGAGAGTAAAATGTATGCACTGATTCCAAAACCATATGCACGCTTCCGACATCAAAGTTTGGCACCAGGCGAAGAAAATAATCACATAATGTCGTTAAAACGTCCCAAATGAAAAGGCCAAGGTCTGCGATTTACAGTCAGCGAGGCATTAAGATAAAAGAGCAGTGCAGAAGGGAGAAGGTGCATGACTTTTCTCACAGTCAAAGCACACGTACGAGCGAAGCCGGGGTGAGCAGCTGTGCAATAAAAGACGTGTGGCCTCATAAGTTAGCCCTAAAGCTCCGACCTGCTAATATCTCGCCTCCGCGGCCTGACTTTTCCACTGGCTCTGCTGTGTCCTTTGGCTCGCGAGGGAAACCGTGGAGCTGGGAGATGCCAGCAAGCCCCGTGCTCGCTCACTGCAGGATTTAATGTCCATATCCAGGTCCATATCCTGGTCTATATATTCTACAGAACGAGGACCGCATGGCCTCAGTCCTCGTTCTACAGCTTGAGTCCTGGATCTAACTGGGACGATACAGGAGGGTCTAAAGACAGTGGTGATGATCCAGGACACTCGAAATGTATCAACATTTATGACCAATGTCTCTATTTGTTGATATAATTACCATTCTTGATTGTATGTGTTGGCAAATTCAACGGTTTTGTAAAGTCTATGTCCCGTTCCATGTCCCAGTCCATTTCCCGGTCCATGTCCTGGTCCCTGTCCTGGTCCCTGTCCTGGTCCATGTCCTGGTTCATGTTACGGTCCATGTCCTGGTCCATGTCCCGTTCCATGTCCCGGTCCCTGTCCCGGTTCATCTCCCGGTCCATGTCCTGATCCATGTCTCGGTCCATGTCCTGGTCCATGTCCCGGTTCATGTCCTGGTCCATGTCCTGGTCCCTGTCCCGGTTCCATGTCCCAGTCCCTGTCCCAGTTCATGTCCCTGTCCATGTACCGGTCCATGTCCCGGTCCATGTCCCGGTCCATGTCCCGGTCCATGTCCTGGTCCATGTCCTGGTCCATGTCCTGGTCCCTGTCCCGGTCCATGTCCCGGTCCCTGTCCTGGTCCCTGTCCTTGTCCATGTCCTGGTTCATGTCCTGGTCCTGGTCCATGTCCTGGTCTACTGTATATCCTGGTTCAGCTTAAGATGGAGCCCTTCACTAATGGAGAGTGATGGTGTGATCAGGTAATATGAACTATTGCGGTGAAGAATCGATCGGTGACTTTCTGCAGACTGTGACACCGGTGGTTTTGATGTCAACATGTGAAATGGAAGAAGTCTTTCCTCCTTCAGGCGCCAAAGTAGCAGAGTTGCTACACAATCTCGATTTTTTTTCCCACAGCGACCTTGGTTTCCCGCAAACGTTTTTTCACACATCTATTAATTTCATTTATCTGTGTTATTTATATTGAAGTTTCAAGGCCCCTTTTGTAAATTCTGTGTGTTTCTGTACTTTTTTAAGTTGTTTTATTCCTGTACTTTTGCTTCTGCTGCACACTGGGGACTTTTGCACATGTATTCCAATGTGTTTTTTTTTTACTGCAAATGGCAAATTAAATTATTCTGAATATGACATTTTGGCAACATTTCAAAAACATTTTGAACCCGTTGGAGTACAAACAAGAGGCTGGACTTAAAAAGCTGAAGCTATGTTGTTCATTCCTCTGATGACTCATTTACTCTAATTACAAGTGGGAACAATCTCTGCACGGCGGAAGATCAAACCACAAAGTCTGCCTTCAATATCATTGGAAAAAATAAAAAGATTACAAATGGTGTCTGGGGATAGGGACTAAAAAACTAGACTGATCAAATGTTTTGAAATTTTCTTTTTTGCAACTGAAATAATCACTTGGAATTATATCTAATTAATTACATTTAAAATCCCTATTCAATGTAAAATGTGGACAATGGTGATGATCCAGGACACAACAACATGTATGGACATTTGGATTCAAGAATTTATTTGCCATTTGCAGTAAAACCCCATTGGAAAAACTGTGCAAGACTACCCCAGTATGCACCGGGCAGCACACACCAGAGCTCCTTCCACGGCGTCATTTATGAACATTATGGACCAAGGACTCTGTGTTTTTTATCAGTTTGTAAAGTCAAGATAACTACTGCTGCAAATTTGGGCTATACAAAAATAAACTGAGTTGAGTTGCTGTTGTGATGTCCTCGGGCAAGACACTTCACTTCCATGTCTGTGAATGACATTGGAAGCCAGGTCTGTTAGCGTTTATTCTTTTCTCCTGCGTCAGTTGTAAGAGGAAGTGTTGGTATTCAGGTGCAGCTGGGGCATGACTGTTTACTCCGTGCTCTTTAATAGTTTAAAGCTGTTTTCCTTTGGTCCAGGTGTCAGCGTCTATGTTTACTTAACGTCTCCAGCACCTTGATCTACTTAGTTTCAATCAACAAAGTCGGAAAAACACCTTTTGAATCATTCATTGGGCAGTTCTTTACACTTTAAAAGGCAAAAGTTAAGCAGGCAGATTAAATACAAAATGGTTCCCAGTATAAGTATTAACTAGCAAATACCCCATGGGGGAAAGTGGACGCAGAAAGAACAAAAACAGTTCTTTATTACTATTGTAAGTAACTTTTAGAATTATGTATTTATTTGTTTGTATGGATGTCTTTCTGCTGCTGAACACCTGCATTTATCACATGTGAGTAGAGTAGTGTAGTGTAGTGTAGTGTAGTGTAGAGTAGAGCAGAGCAGAGCAGAGCAGAGCAGTGTAGAGCAGAGTAGAGTAGAGTAGAGTAGAGTAGAGTAGAGTAGTGTAGTGTAGTGTAGTGTAGTGTAGTAGTGTGTAGTAGATAGATAGAGTAGGTGGTAGAGTAGAGTAGAGTAGAGTAGAGTAGAGTAGAGAGAGTAGAGTAGAGTAGAGCAGAGTAGAGTAGAGTAGAGTAGAGTAGAGTAGAGTAGAGTAGAGTAGAGTAGAGTAGAGTAGTGCAGTGTAGAGTAGAGCAGATGTGAGTAGAGTAGAGTAGAGTAGTAGTAGAGTAGTGTAGTGTAGTGTAGAGTAGAGTAGAGTAGAGTAGAGTAGAGTAGAGTAGTGTAGAGTAGTGTAGTGTAGTGTAGAGTAGTGTAGTGTAGTGTAGAGTAGTGTAGTGTAGTGTAGAGTAGAGTAGAGTAGTGTAGTGTAGAGTAGAGTAGAGCAGGGCAGGGTAGAGTAGAGTAGAGTAGAGTAGCGTAGAGTAGAGTAGAGTAGAGTAGAGTAGAGTAGAGTAGAGTAGAGTAGAGTAGAGCAGAGCAGTGTAGAGTAGAGTAGAGTAGAGCAGAGCAGTGTAGAGTAGAGTAGAGTAGGGTAGAGCAGAGCAGAGCAGTGTAGAGTAGAGTAGAGTAGAGTAGAGTAGAGTAGAGTAGTGCAGTGTAGAGGTGAGTAGAGTAGAGTAGAGTAGTGCAGTGTAGAGGTGAGTAGAGTGAGTAGAGTAGAGTAGAGTAGAGTAGAGTAGAGTAGAGCCGAGCCAAACAGGGCTGGTGGAAACAGAGCGTCTGTCTCCTTCAAACACTCACCTGGTCTGCGTCTGTGGCTGTGAGCTGCATTATCTTGAAGCCATCTCCCACGTTCTCCTCGATGGTCAGGTCCATGATGTCGTTGGGGAAAACTGGAGGGTTGTCGTTGACGTCCTGCAGCGTGATCTCCACCTGTAACCAGAACAAAATAAAATCCATTAAATTCTGAGCCAAAAGGCAGCAGCCGAGGACAAAAGAAGGTCTATCTGGGATTCCTAGTGATGAAGAAGTAGTAGAAGCAAAGGGAAAGCTATGATTCAAGTCTTGTGAGAAAGCGGAGAGAAAACTGTTCAATTCATTTTATTCTTTTATCGCCCTAAATCACAACAGTAGTTATCTCAGAGGACTTAACAAAACTGTTGAAATCGCCAACACAGATCAGAGAATTCAACTATAAATATCAATAAGTATAGAACACATCGGTATTGGTCTGTAGGGATTTGACCAATGTCCATAAATTGAATTGAGTTGCTGTTGTGATGTCCTCGGGCAAGACACTTCACTTCCACGTCTGTGAATGAGATTGGAAGACAGGTCTGTTAAGCGCTTATTAATCTTCTCCTCCGTCAGTTGCAGGCAGCAGCCGAGGACAAAAGACGGTCTATCTGAGATTCCGAGAGATGAAGAAGTGGTAGAAGGGAAAGTTACGATTCCAGTCTCGGGAGAAAGCGGAGAGAAAACTGTGAAATGATGAAGTGTGGCAGATTGACTGGAGAGGTCAGAGACTAAGCAGAGTGAAATATGGCTTTATCCAAACAGCAATTTATTAACATCTCGAGCGGCGCGAGTCACTTGACCAAATGTAATTTTCAGCTGACGAAAGAACATCTGTATTAAAGACTGGTGGCACTGGAACATGCCGGAGGTGTGTGTGTTTTCCGCAGATTCATAAGACGACTGACCGCGGAAAGTGATTTGTTGTTTAATTTCTGTATTTCATTTGGAATTCAGACAAGGCTCTTCTCATCTGCCTGCTGACCCGGCACCCAAGGCCCAGATAGAGACGATAAGAATGAGAAATAATAAAATGTTATTGTCGTGTCTTAAAGGTAGCAAGATTAAGATGAAGAGACCCTTTATTGGTCCCACAGTGGGGAAATTTCAGTGTTGCATCATCAATTAGAGTAGGAATGAGAAGCACACAGCACAGAATAAGTGTACAAAAACACTTTACAAAAATAAAATATATTTCACAAGACATAATACATAAAGTATTGGGATTATTTTGTACATGTTCCAGACTGCACCCTGATATGCGACTTATTTTGAAATCAAGGCTGAAACGTATTTATTCAGACTGACATTAACACTCAATGCATCGGTTTTGTACAGCGCTTTTTTGGACACTCAAAGACGCTTCACATATCATTATTCATTCACTCGATACACGGTGGTGATAAACTATTACTGTAGCCACAGCTGCCCTGGGGCACACTGACAGAAGCGAGGCTACCAGACATCGGCCCCTCCAACCACCACCAACCATTCACACACACACCACACTAGGCAATGAGGGTGAAGTGTACTGTCTAAGGACACAACGGCAGCAGTTGGTGGAGAAAGTCATGTGGTGGGCTCGAACCCACAACCTTCAGGCTCAAAGGCCAATGCTCTACTAACTGAGCTACTGTGGCTTAATTTTTTAAATCTTTTTTTAATGCTTTTTAACTATTATTTTTTGATTGCATGAATGTTTTAACGGATTTTATTGTAAAGTACTTTGGTCGCCTTGACTGTTGTAAATAGCTCTATAAATGAGAAAAAGGTTGATTGAATGAAAACAATAAAATAACGTGAAAATGAAAAATAAATGTTGAATAACTGGTAATTTATTGTTTTTTTTAATTAAATTTGTATTGTTTTTACTTTACACATCATAATTGTTAATTTCACCTATTCTATTTTTGATACATATAAAGCTAGCAAACCTGTATATCCTGTATCCATAAGATTATATGGATTGGATTTATGATACACCAGCAATTGAGCTCTATTTTTGTCATCTCGGTACTGTTCAGAAATGTTCTGCAACGTCATTAACAACTGCGGTTACTTCCAAATGGTCCAGTTACAATTCCCAACCACTCAAACCCATCATCTGAAATATGGAGAAATCATATTGTGGTCCTCTATGGTAGACCTCATACCCCCCCTCCGTCCCAGAAGCCCGTGGAAACTCAATGACTTACAAATTGCCTGGAGGCCGTGTTCCATTCGGACTTACTGTAAGCGTAACAGTAGATCCAGCCCAACTATCGCTTGGGGATTTGAACTTTCATCCCATCCAAACCCAAATAAACAGACATTACAACAGACCACAGACCCCCCATGAGACCGGACGTCCCAAGAATCAATTCAATCAGTGGCCTGGACTCGGCAAGAATTCACGCTTGCTAGAGTTTGGTAAGGATGCTCAGGGTAATCTCTGTCTATGCATATTGATGTGACGGCAGTTTTCTTTCCAAATGTATGGATATTGAAGGCTTTTGCGTTCCATAAGTGAACCATCTATATCAATTGACGTTAATTATATGCTATCTAATATTGCCCCAATCACTATAATCATTGGGAAACTTAAAGTGGCAGTCTTTTCCTTCTTTTTTTGAGAATATCCTTTTGACAAACATCATGGAAAACGTCTAATTTGCCATTTTTGGACGTTGGTAATGGAGATTCTAAAGCATGTCCTTGGTGCAGACAATTATTTCGAATGCACGGTCATCTACAATGCAAATTCGTACCGGAGGAAAGTTGAGACCCGATAGAGAGCGAGAGTGAGACATTTCTGGTTTCAAGTGTTCGGCCTACAGTGGCGATATTCCATTTCAGCAGCGATCCGCTTTCTCTTCAAACTCTAACCCAAATACGCATCTCCGAGCCAGTAAACACGGCCCACTTCTGAATCATAACACACATTTTGCTGCACATTTTCTGTTTATTGTTTCTATAAATATGAACAAGCTGTGTTTAAATTCTCGGCTGATCAAATATCCAATGTTGATAGTGACTATGATAAATCCTTAAGTAACCATCACAGGATGTCCCCACTAACCCTTTACAAAAGCCAACAAACAATGAATCTTAAAAACATGACAGTGGCGATTCTCCAGTTGGCTTTTTATCTCCGGCTCTTTACCAGTTTCTTGTTGAATTGTTACACGGCTCCAACAACAAAGTCGTTTGTTCCAATATGCTGCAGTTAGAAGGAGACGACATGTGCATCGGATTAGGCCGCAGTCAAATCGAGCTTGGAGCTGAGAATGTGTTGGATCAGGTATCGATACTGGTTAAGATCTGGTAGGGAAAACCGGAGCAATTGGAGGAGCGCGACCAGAGAGAGAGAGAGAGATCAGAGAGAGACCAGAGAGAGAGACCAGAAACAGACCAGAGAGAGAGTCAAAGAGATAGCCAAAGAGAGCCCAGGAAGAGACCAAAGAGAGGGAGAGAGACCAAAAAGAGATATTAGAGATAGAGAGGGACCAGAGAAAGAGACCAGAGAGTGATATCAGAGAGAAAGACCAGAGAGAGAGAGAGAGAGCCAGAGAGAGCCACCAGAGGGAGACCGCAGAGAAAGAGACCAGAGACAGAGCCACAGAGAGAGATCAGAGCGAGACCAGAGAGGGAGAGCCATAAAAGAAACCAGAGAGAGAGACCAGAGAGAGACCAGAAAGAGACCAGAAAGAGACCAGAGAGGGAGAATATGCTCAGTCCAACAAAAAGGAGGTGGAATGAAACCCAGGACCTTGTTGCTGTGAAGTAAAAGCAGTAACCATTGTGCCTATGCAATACATAGAAGTTACTTACAGGATAAGTTAAAATCATAATTTTACCCAAAGTATTAAGATATGAAAATATTTGTGCATCTTTAGACTTTTATTTTAAATTCTGGGATAAAAGCCCATTTCTGGTCTGGACACATGTCTGACTACTTGATGTTTGTGCTTAAACCATCCATCCATCCATTTTCTACCCTTTAATCCATTTCTGGGTCAGGGGGGTGGCAATCAGAGATGCCACCCAAGTCTCATAGCACCAGCCCCTCACTGACCCTCTGCAGGTGGTGAGTCCACAGGAGGGCGGCTGCTCTTTGAGTGAGCATAGCCTTGATCTTTCAGTGGGGGCTTTGGGCAAAGTGGGGTTAAGTGTCTTGCCCAAGGACACAACGACAGCAGTCATCAGTGGGAGTCGGTGGAGAAGGTGCAGAGGCGGGAATTGAACCCACAACCTTCTGGGCTTAAGGCCAATGCTCTACCAACTGAGCTACTGTCGCTGTGCTTAAACCAAATATCAACCATTTAAGCACACATTTAAGCTTCATAAACGTGCAGCTTCGTGATGTCTCTTGTGAAATCCTTCTGAGTTCCTCAAACACTTAATCCCCTGTTTGTAATCCCATTTTCATGCCCGATATAGGATGAAATTGAGCTCATAATTAGAAAAATGTATTTTTTGGTTCTGTCCAGATAATCTGTGTTTGAGTCCATCCCTAATGGTTGTCATGCAGTCGCAAGTCTTGTATGGCCCTAAATCACAACAGTAGTTATCCCAAAGGACTTTTTAAAAATCGTTGAATTTGCCAACACAGATCAGAGAATCAAACATGCAAGGATAAAAACACACAGAGCCATTGGTCCAAAAGGAGCAGATGACCAATGTCTATTAATGTCCATAAATGTTGATGAATGTTGAGTTTAGTGTCCTGGATCATCAACACTGTCCTTTTAGTAAGACCCTCTAACAGTCTAACGCCCAAGTTACCTCACTGTCATTTCAGAGTCTGCCAAGAAACATACATATTATCGACAGACAAAACAAGAAATAGAAAACGATTCCCTTCACAATAGCAAGACTGGAGCTGTGTAAGCATGGAAAGAATGAACAAAGGACCCAAGGCCATCAGACCACCGGACTGGGTTGTCACATCACATAAAACCAATCCATTCAAACTACATCTACGGGAAAAACAGAATTCTTGTGCCCTTTGTAAGCCCAATACACAATTCCATGTAGCCGCAAATCAACAGCTGCTGCACTTGGAAACCTCTCAACTTCATTAAAGATGACCCAGTACAAAAAGCTTCAGGGAACACTGGCTGAAATGGTGTCACAAACTTGCAGCACATCAAAGCTTCCATTTCGAATGCCCTTATCGTCTTTTGCTGTTTGCCGCCATTATGACCATCCTAATTACTATCGCATCAGTGTCTTTCATGTGTCTAACTTGACCTGAAGCATGCCCCCGATTGCTGAAGCTTTTCCGGACTCATTGACTTGTGTGACTGGAGATGATTAAAGAACAACCAGCCAAATTTCCTAGCCAGTAAGTTGCAATAATATTTTTTCAAAAGTCGCACACACTGACAATCAATGGATCTCTGAGTTTGAGCTGAGGGAACGGAGAAAAGCCAACAAACAATGAATATTTATCCGCACATAAGGCCTTGCGTGTCCTCTTGAAGTGTAAATAATGCACGGCCCACTTCTAAGCCGTCGACTCATTAGGAAAGAAGCACACTTTTTGAGCAATAATTAGGCTTGCCGTCTGCATTAACGATACGTTCCCCAAGGAGACAAAAATATCAAAGAGTTTCATTGGTGGAGGAGGAAGCGAGGTCAGGAGGGAGGGAGGGGGGGAACCAACAAATGGAGTCTGGCTCAGAGGAGCTGATCGGGCAGGAACTCAACTCAACACTTTTCAAACCAGATTGAGAAAGTTGGGGCTAAGTGCCTTTTTCAACTGTGTTTTTCTTTAAAGGATTTAGTTTAAGAATTTCATAAATAAGCCAAATTTTCTCTCATGTGGTTTACTTAATTTGTGATTATGAAAAACAGCCAACAAAGGGAAAACGAAGGAGCTTTGGTAGATAATTTTGTAACCATGGGACCAAACCATGGACCTAGTAAATATGCTGTTGTGCTATGCTCTTTTGCCCCTGATCACAAAATTGGGTTTCGAAATGTTAGATTGGGAATGTTTTTTTAATATACTGTTAGGAAACCAGACCAAAGCTTGCAATGCTCGTTTGTTCCACAATAGTTGCAAATATGTCTGACCCTCATTTGACATTTTGTTTTGGACGCTACAAAAGTCAAAAAGATCTAAAACAATTGGCAATGCAAAGTAAGTTTATTTGTATCATACCATTAATACATAAATGTAAGCGCTTCTAAAACAATGCAATCACTGCATTCATTTGTCCTTTTTTCATTTATGGTGCGTAGCATATTTCCATTTTAATCCTTTGACAATCACCCCTTGAAGAAAGCAATATATTTTTGTTGTTGTTGACTGAAGAAAAAAATATCAAAAAAAGGATTACTATTGCAACAACACATCATCAGTAGGGTAAAACCAACCTGTCTCACAACAGTCTTTTTTTTCCCTAAGATGTAGGACAGGGTGACAGTAGCTCAGTTAGTAGAGCATCAGCCTTTGGGCCTGAGGGTTGTAGGTTTGAATCCACCACGAGACCTATGACTCCCACTGATGACTGCTGCCGTTGTGTCCTTGGACAAGACACTTAACCCCACTTTGCTTGAAGCCCCCACTGGAAGATCAAGACTCCTGGGGACTTACCACCTGCAGTAGGATCAGTGAGGGGCTGGGGCTCTGTGTACTGGGTGCAGCTCTGACTGCCAACCCCATGACCCAGAAATGGATTAAGGGGAAGAAAATGGATGGATGGATGGAAGATGTCGGACACTAATTACACAAATCTTTTGTTTTTACGTTACTTTTTAAACCTTTTTTTCCAAAAAAGAGAAGAAGACGATTATTACAGGCCTTTACCAAATGGTTAAAATGCAGTTTGATTGTACAAGTGCCTAAAACCAAGTGAGATGTCCCAATGAGGTTGATTTCAGTTCCAGGCATAAAATAGATTTATTGACTCTGAATAAGGATCTACCAAATGGTTGAGGAAACCATTAAAGGGTTAAGATAAAGTCAATGTTGCATACCATGTCTCCTTTAACAGCTAATCTTGTATATTTGGCAAAGTATTAAATCCCACAAATGTACTGTTTGGATGCAATTAACATACTCAGAATATGAAAATGTCCCTGAATATCCTCAATAATAATAATAATGCATCGGTTTTATATAGCGCTTTTATGGACACTCAAAGACGCTTCACATGTCATTATTAATTCACTCCATACACGGTGGTGATAAACTACTACTGTAGCCACAGCTGCCCTGGGGCACACTGACAGAAGCGAGGCAACCAGTATGCGCCATCGGCCCCTCCGACCACCACCAGACTCATTCTAGGCAATGGGGGTGAAGTGTCTTGCCTAAAGACACAACGGCAGTTTGGCACTTTACAGCCCCACTGTGGCTGGTGTTCCCAGAGGTTAAGTGTCTTGCCAAAGACACAACGACAGTAGTCAGTGGGAGACGATGGTGAAAGTCTTGAGCGGGGCTTGAACCCACGACCTTCTGGCTCAAAGGCCAACGCTCTACCAACTGATCTACTGCCGCCACAATGGTATAACGTTTTGTGTCTTGCTCCCTCAGACTGAAGACTGAAGCAGGTAAAAGACATTAGCTTTGGGGCCGGCGGATCGTGTTTCGCCCAGAGCTGTTCAAGTTGCAGGTGCCGCTAACTGGCTGCCACGGCTTTATAATTTATGGAGAGGTATGAATGATTCAAGTGGGTCCTGTCGATTATGGACGTGAAGTGAGAGAAGCTATTTACCCAGAAAGTCACACAGAGCAGTGATAAATGAATCTGGTCACAAAACTCCCATTGAGTTTATGATATATGTGTATGACAGGTTT